GGCGTGTGTGAGAGAGAGAGAGAGAGAGAGAGAGAGAGAGAGAGAGAGAGAGAGAGCTAGAGAGAGAGAGAGAGAGAGAGAGAGAGAGAGAGAGAGAGAGAGAGAGAGACTCACCTGAGCTGGATTGAGTATGCCACGGAAAAACTCCAACAGATGTATGCCATCTCTGTTCCCACTTTGTTTAGTTGCTATGACGATTACAGGACTCCAGGCAGGATCATCTGTCGGTGGGACAACAGAGTCAACAACTAGGTGTTTACGACCCTTCCAGCCCACCTGCTTCAAGGTAATGCAGTTGGAAGGCACTATCATATTCTGCAAAGTAAGCCCATTCGAATTAGCTATACTACCTTCTTATAGATGTAATGCAAACATGATATAACTTAAACAATATAGAATCAACTAAAACAACATATGGCTTACGTTTTTTTAAATATATTACAGGGGAGTAGATCGAACCAGGCTATCTCCTACTCCACAAGTGCAGGAAAGGTGTAAGCATCTTGGAATCATGTCACCGTGTCGCGCTTCATTACATAAAATCAATATAATTTCAAAATAAATCCAAAATATTTACTGGAGTAACAGCTGATCTGTTGCCTGTCAAACTCATTTTACAAGATCCATACAGAAAACCTCAATCCTAACGTCCCACATATATTGTTGATGGCCACAGCAGAAAAAAACCCTCGTTAAAAGCACTGCCACGTTTTTACGAGGAGCACGTTTCCCCATTGTGCTCGTTAGGATAATGACATCACGCGTCACGCACCTTGTACTTGCCCAGATCGCAGCGCATTGCCGTGAGGAGGTGCATGCAGTGCGTGTGGATGCTACGCTCGCACCAGCAGCATCGCCAGTCTCCGACGTCGAGTTGCTCGCCGCCCCCGCACGACTCGCCGCACGCGCAGCATCCGCTCGCCATCAGCAGGTTGCCGTGCACCCAGTGATGAGTGAGTGGCACACCGAGCTCCTGCAACATATCGTAAAATCTCATGCCTTGTCTTGTCTGGTACTCTACTAATCGCCTGGTGTGGCTACACACATCGCTTTGATAACCTAATTTTTTTTCACATTTTCTTTACTGCTGTTAATTACATTTTTGAATGAAGCCGCATCAGGAGCAGTCTCGGTAGTAGGTAGTAGTGCATTCCATGTTGGAATTGTCCGGGGATAAAGAGAGTATCTGTATCATGTACGAGGAAGCTACGTCTACGTCGACACACCCGTATACACCCGGTGGTCACAACTGATTAAACAGTAATAAACACACTGCTACTTTCCCTCCGGGAAAAAGGCTTCCGACGTGTACTTTTTTGTAGAAGTTTAAGGCTTGGCCGGTAAAATTATTAGCGGGGTGCGTGACTGGTATTTATAGCTACAAGTTTGCATGCTTTCTCTCACTAGGGGGTACCTTCCGCGATACTAGACAGTGAAAAACTCTTTACACTCTAGTGCATTAAAAAAATTGTGAATCATGACAGAATTCATATTAACAGTCAATAGCAAGTGCTTTGTTACCGGAGGTTTGGCATTGAGACACTCTTTACACTAAAACTATGAAACTTAATTGCAAATTGTGATAGGAATAATACTAACAGTAGCAAGTGCTTTGCAATGCAGCGACTGGTCTGCAGTCGTCATGCAGTCTACATCCACACAGATGCCACAACAATCACACAGCAACCCTTCCGCAAAATGTGACGTGCACACTGCGCAGTAGAGTGGGCGACACATCACTTCTGTCGCACACCACCGGTGTCCTGAAAAGGAATTTCAGTAAATAAGGTCGAAAAATCTTAAATTGGTGGGACACATACCAGGGGTCAAAATTAGATTTTTATTATGGTATCCATTCGGGATACCAGGTATTGAAATCTGGTATCCCCCCAAAGATCTGGCATCCCATTTTTTGGATAGTAATTTCAACAATGTTGGTATCCAAAATCTTGAAATATGCAATAATAGCATTTGAAAATATGTAATGTAATTAATATGTAAAATGAGTAATGTATATATAAAAACATGAAAACAGATTCACAGATATGCACAGACAAGTACACTGCAAACGTATTGTCTGGTTCGCTTAATACAATGTATACACATCACATTTATAATCAACATCGGCTACGCTTACGCTTGCCCTTGCAAATATGCTCAACAGCCACTATCCCGATTTTGATTTTTTTTTTACTATCCCGGCAGGATACCAAGCATTGAAATCTGCAGGAGTGCATAGTATACCAGGAGTATATATAGCATGGGTGAACAATAACAGATCTGTTATTATTCCCCCCTGATATTAGCATATATATACATGTGTGGCAGACACATGATAACACCAGGGCTTATCCCTTGACAAGGGATACATGACAATCATCCCCATTTTCGTCTGTAATTTATAAAGCATAATTAACTTGCGGTACTATAATTTACAAACACAATTTTGTATTTGCTGCTCTTAATAAGTCATTATAGAAGCGCTTCAGCTGTCACCCACACACATTGCAAAACGTGCAAATGCTCATGAAGGAATACCTTTTCTTGTGTCCCGCACTGGAATTTCATAATGTCTCTTTCGCCTCTTTATAAGGGTAATTATTAGTACTGTTCCCAGGAATACCATGGCGACATATAATGAAATCCTGCTGGGTGGAAGATCTCCCCACATCACAGTGCTCTTTGCCTTTGGTTCCACATTCTCCTCCATATTGTTAGCCTACTGAACGTATGTAACTCTGTATTATCTGTAATCGCATATATTTTATATTATGGACTGTAACACAGAAAATTGCACAGCTACAAGTACATAATACATACTTGTGATAGCAATACTGTACTGCTGTACTGTCAGTAGTAATAATATTGATATTGTTATGAATAATCCGTATTAATCGTAAAAAACCACAACTTACAAGTACACAGTTACAACTACTGAACTAGTAGTAGTAGTAGTACTGGTAGTGCAGCTCATAGGGTCTATGTCCCCCAGGGTACTGCCGGAACGTACCCTGGTCACTATTTGATATGGTTAGGGTTAGGATTAGGGTTAGGGTTAGGGTTAGGATTAGGGTTAGGGTTAGGGAGTAGGCGTAGGCGACTCCCTAGACTCGTTAGTGTCTGGGTGAGGTACGGTCCGGCATATTAGATATAGTACCAGGGTACGTTCCGGTATACCGGACCGTACCCAGGGTACGCTCCGGCAGTACCCCGGGGGACATAGACCCTCTCAGCGGTAGTGCATGGTAGGACTTAGTCCGCAAATGCAGACGTTATAACTCCGCTTTGCTAATCTCAGGGTGCGGGTTTATCGTCTGCAGTCACCCTTGTAAAAATTGTTGCAATTTTTGTTGTGGGCATTGGATAGGTGAAACGAGTAGCAATGAGGGCGTGACAGGGGTATATCCAACCCAAAATATCAAGTACAGAACTTCCGTTTGTCAATATCGCTTTCCGAAGACTTTATCTCTGTTTCAGAACTTTGTTTTCATGCAATAATTCATCCTAGTAAGAGTAACTTCGATATTTTTGGCCATATTCACTTCGATCGGCCAATGAAATTCACTTCCTGTAGTTTCGGGTTCACTCGGAAGATTAACTGGACCATAGTCTATAGATGGCACGAACTATATTTGAACATCGGGAATAGCCGAAGTAACCGGAAGTGATTTTCATTGGTTGACAAATGTGAATGAAGACAGACCATTTTGGCATGATGTTTATATTTACCATTAGGTTAACAACGATATATTCTTATGTTGTGGCCGCTACCAGGACATCATAGCGTGCATGCACGTAGATAAATGATTCAAGTTCAGATTAAAGTAAGTTCCACGCAACGTATATATCGGGCGCATATATTACTAAAAAGTGCCACCTCCAAACTGGAGGTGGCTTTCCGTGATTGAGATAGACACGGCCGCAGACCCCATTACTAGGGACTGCGTCGGCTCGGACTAGGACTAGGAGTAGCCACTATACTCTCTAGCAGTGCAGCGAGTACTACATTTGACTTGCTTCGCTGCGTCACATTTGCACATTACTGTTATGTCGGTTCAAGGATAGAGAACATGGGTCCCAATAAAACCAATGTCATTTACATCAATATAAATATAATATTATATCAATATAATAGGTTAGGGTTATGGTTAGGGTTATGGTTAGGGTTAGGATTAGGGTTAGGGTTAGGGTTAGGGTTAGAATTAGGGTTAGGGTTAGGTTTAGGCACATTGGTTTTATTGGGACCCATGGCCATGTTCTCTATCCTTGGGCCGTTATGTCTAATGTCAAATGATTAGTCTACACACGACTACTTGTTACTACAAGTACAACGGCCCAAGGATAGAGAACATGGGTCCCACTAAAACCAATGTGCCTAACCCTAACCCTAATTCTAACCCTGACCCTAACCCTGACCCTAACCCTAACCATAACCCTAACCTATTATATTGATATAATATTATATTTATATTGATGTAAATGACATTGGTTTTATTGGGACCCATGTTCTCTATCCTTGAACCAGTACAACTACAAGTACAAGTTACAACATCATCATCATATTCATGATCATGTTTACCACAATTTCCCAAGTTAAATGATTGCATGAATTCCGTCACGCAAGCGCAAGCTGTGTAACGCGGGAATAGTAAATATGTGCCACAAGAACATATGATACAATATAATGATAACAGAAATGCTACATACCTTATAATATTATATAGTACCTATAAAAATGGCTATATTATATTGTATGACGACGAGATACTAGAATCTCCGCATTTATTTACAGAGGCGGCCATGTCCGATACCAGCGCCGACTAACGGTAAATATAGCAATCATTTCACCACTTCACAGCGAGAATGAAGTTTTATTTAATTCACTCTCTAAGAAACGGTTATACATCGAATGTGTATTGATGTTAGCCTAGGATAACCTTTATCAAAGTACAGACATTAAATAAAACATAATATGAATAAACAAAAGCCGCAGAGATTACGGTTTGATTTTTTGGACATTTTTTTAGCTCACCTGGACATCGTCAAGATGAGCTATTGCGATGGGGCGTCGTCCGTCCGTCCGTCAACATTTGGCTACGGTCAACGATAATTGTTACCGGTTACGGTATCTGGATCCAGTGGCGTAGGGGGCTCCAGAATTTTTTAACAGGGAGGGGGGGCAAAAACAGCGAACTGCGCAAAATAGTGGATCGATGAATTAATATTTTAATGGTTTCTCCGCCTCCCTCTCCACACCTCTGTGTTCCCCACCTCAGGCTCTAGCTCTGCGATCTTTGTTTTGGGTGCCATGCATGCAAAAAGGTGACATTTTTGTTCGTTGTTCTCTGCTCCCGTTCGTTGTTCGCTGTTGTGACTGTTCAGTGGTAGATCCAGAAGTCCAAGGAGGGGGTGTGTATGTTTGAAAAACAGGCGGGGCCGGGGTAAGGAAGGAGGTCCTGCTCCAGAAAATTTTGAAAATGTAGATAGCAGGAGATGGTATTTGAGGCACTTTTGAGTACATGTACAGCCTTCAGTCTGACTATGACAATTCTCTTTTTTTTCTAACTTTCGGATCAACAGGGGGGGGGGGCCATGGCCCCCTCGATCCTAACTACGCTATTGTCCGGATCGGTCAATGTATAGGTAGGTAGCAATGAGTGGAAAAACATACAAATGTATAATCGAAAATCATAGAAATTTAAATTCAATATGGTATATTTTGACACCAATTATATCTCCAATGTACATAATCAGATGATATAGCATTTTAGTTAGTTACACACGTTCACAAATTTTTGATAAAAGGGACCATATGTCTTCATGGTTACGAGACTTGGGGATTTACTATAGTACTTTATAAGTTAGAGTTAAGGAAACGTTCTCGCAGCCAGGGGGACATGGGCCCTTTAAACCAAACCATTACCATCCTCAATTTCCTAATATTTCAATATGCTTCCAAGGAAATAAACAACATATGTACATATTTTGCAGAATAGAGCAATAAGGGTCCTACAAACAATGTGGTCATAAATAAATAATAATAATATTGAAATGCCTTTGACATCCAATGAAGATTCAATTTCATATTACACACTATTCATATATATATATATACTCTTAATGACACATGCAGTAGTCTTCCTCACATGAAAAAAGTATTCAAACGTTTATCTGCAGTCAGCAGAGTAACGAGACAGCAACAGGAACGTCATAGCAAATATTTATCCATCATCTGAGCAAGAACATCTGTGGATCGATTCTTTGGATGATGGATCGGCTTTGACTGGCTCGGTTTCCCTGACGTCTGTGGAAACGTGTAGCTAAGGAACTTCATCATTAAAAACCCGAGTAAAATCTATTTAAAAATGGTTTAAAGCTGTCGATGGTCATTTGCTTACAATGCTAGTGCCGCCAGCACACCTGCATCCCCTGATGGCGTTTCACTATGAAACTTTTCAGCTGCAAGCTACACACCAAGGGCATTTCTTATTTGTTAATTTAAGAGGACGAGGAGGAGTAGGAGGCGGAGGAGGAGGAGGATTAAGAATTTTCCTATTAATTTCTGTTAGACTATGTATGTACTGATAATAAACGAAAAGTCGTTCAGGTAGTAGTTAGGTATATATATATAATTGCACTTTTGTTATTAGCACCCCTGTGTAAATAATGGAAAATGAAAATCCTAAAGAGTAACTCTGTCAGAGGGTGGCACAGTTGGATAGTGTTATCGCAGTACTCAAAATCCTACAGTGTCCTACAGGCTACATGACATATGTATCTGTATGTTCAGCCTTTATCAAATGAATAAAATATTTGATTTTCATTTTTTTTGTTTCATGTTGGCAATAGAAAGGATACGAGCTTGACAGTCTTTGATGTACCGCCTAAACCATCATAGCCAGTCTTAAACTGTAAAAAATAAAACCAAATTAAATTTCCTAATTAATATGTTCATTTTACAAATCCCACCAAAAATTATTAATATTAATGAGTAGACATTAAAACTGCTATCATATGCACACCTAATTATATCAGGAGTATATAATATAGTCTATATTATACGCTATATAATTATATATATAATTACATTGACTAACTATCTATCGATCATTTATACGTACGATACACGAAGAACTGGAAGCCGTGGTGGAGGCCTTTTTAGTTGTCATGTAAGCACTAACCCGGGGGAGATTGTTGCAAGAGTTCGACTTCTGTAATTAGAGCATGTATTAAATGAACCACAAATATGACTTTCAATAAATATCAGTATCAACCAATCAATTCGCATAAAAGTGAGGAACTGTTGTGTCAGATGCTTAAAATACTCACAGCTTTCATTGATTTTGCTTTGGAAGCAATCTTGAGTGGAGGAAGAGTGTATCTGCAAGAGAATGCAACAGTTTCGAGTTTTCAACTCTAATCTCAGATCATACAATTCTAACATCGCATTAGCTAATGCATGTAGTATCTTCACAATATCTAATGCATACAGTACAATCACAATAGAGTGAATAACAGTTAGCACATGCTTTGTGAATGACATTTCTGGATATGCATCCTGAAATCGACGCCAACATCACTAGACCACAATCACTAGCAGAGCATAAACCCGTGTCATCGCGGCTCCTAGTCTTGAAAACGGAATTTAAAGACAAACCAATCGCTTACTCGTCGCATGCCTGGTGCAGTCTCTGCGTCGCGGGGCTCGGCTTCACAAACTGCGGACTGCAAAACTTGTCGCCGTCTTCCTCCGGCGATGACAGTCGCACTCGCTTGCTGCCGACGTTTCTCTCCGCAAGCGGCGAGTTGAAGACGCTGGAGTTCGCGCGAACAACGAGATAATCGTTATACACACCCGAGCAAACGTCACCACGTCATACGACCTGTCCCCCAAAAGAAGCTGCGAATGCTAGTAATTGAAGGAAACTGCTCCAGCAGAGCATTTCAAAGCGAGATATACTCTAGAGTTATCTCGACGGTCTAGTAAAGTAATCTTGCCTAATCAGCGGAGCGTTTAGTTAGAGAACTGCCTCAAAGAGAGATGTCGATTCTATAGCAATGCTAGCTGTTTATCAATGAAACACTAACAAAACACTCACGTCTCTCTGGTTGCAAGAACTATGTCACAAGGACCATTATTCTTTGCACACGCCACGTATGCAAACATCTATACTACATAGATCTTCTGGCAGGCTGTGAGAGCCCTAGGTCTCTATCGTGTGAAATCTACCTTTCTCTAATATGCTGGATTCCAGGTTTTCCTCGCACAGCACTGTTCTCCATCAGCATGTCTACTTTCTTCTTCAGGCTCTACATTTATAAAAAAAAATTCACAAATTTATAAACTTTTGGAAACAGGTATCCCCCCCTCGTGGCAGGTAAATAGAGCAAGCAATTCACCAATCTATCTAAGCAAGATAACCACGCCTCCTTGGATACTGTCGCAGGGTCAGTCAAGCTCACACGGTTTGTGTGTGGTCTTACTTGCGTGGATGCCAAAATGTCGACTTTGCCTGTATTTCATGACTAAGAATTTATAATCTCACGATATATCGTCACAACCACTCTACTGCTTGTCTTCGCCATCAATGTCCCTGTCACAGAAAGAGACTATTTGACTGCCGGGGCACTTGGCTGCTCCGATCATTCACAATAACACTCGAAAGTACAAATCGAGTCGCCATGGCAATGCAGCAGTACACCACACTGTAGCTGAAGCCCACAGGAGTGAAGCGTACAGGCTGAACGAACCGAACGAGCGGATTACCTCTATTGATGACTCTGAGTGTTCGAGGTCATTCTCCGCCATGCTCAGCTGCTCCTGCAGCGTCACTAGCTCCCGCCGCTCCTGATTCAACTGCAAGTAATCTTAATTAGCAGGTGGTTGTTGATATACTGTGTAAACGTATGCTTGTAGTTCCGTTTCATTGTACAGAGTGATTCCGGTATTTACATGTACCCGTCAGTCCCATAATGCATAGGGGTTGTACCACGAGATCGGGAGTAAACATGGCGTAAAGACTTTACTCGGTATCTGTGTTTGTCCTGTTATTTGTTGAACCTACACGTTATCAACATTGTTGATATACTGTGTAAACGTATGCTTGTAGTTCCGTTTCATTGTACAGAGTGATTCCGGTATTTACATGTACCCGTCAGTCCCATAATGCATAGGGGTTGTACCACGAGATCGGGAGTAAACATGGCGTAAAGACTTTACTCGGTATCTGTGTTTGTCCTGTTATTTGTTGAACCTACACGTTATCAACAGTGGTCATGTTGCTAGAATAGTTTACTGACCCACAATAGTTCAGAATATCGTCCGCTCCACGACAACTTTGTCCGTGCGACAATCAAAACTTCAAAAACTGATTCGACTTTGAAAACCAGCAATTTAGTTGGACACAGCAGGCCTTTACAGGGTAAAAGTCATGAACAGTGGCTATCAGTTTGTCAAATGCGAGATGTGCATCTTTCGCTTGTATTATTGCACTCACCACATTTTCTACGCATAAGAGTCGTTTCTGTAGTTTCGTGCATTCAGCATTCACTTTCTTCCTGCCTGCTGTAGCTCCAGCCAACTCTCTGCATTAAATTAATAAGACATTAGATTACATAGGTGTAGGTAAACACAAGGCATTTCATCTAAATACAAGGTTTACAACAATCAAAACAATACATAAATAAAAAATAATGTGAGAATTTTAATCAATAAAAAATTTTGTTTTATTTAAAACCTGAAATAAATGTTTAACAAAATATAATCTACCGTTGCAACATGGCAACCTTCCTGTCCCGATAGAATGGCTTGCACACTATAATGGCCAAAAAGCAGGTGGTTTAATGATGTAAGATATATTGAGTGACACCAGTATAAAAATTCCAACACTGTCGCAATTCATTCGAACATCCCTCGCAATTCTCTCATAACATTAATAACAGTATTTTGATGTTAGTTTGTGTGCTACGCATAGTTGGTTAACTAGTTATTCAGTGAGTGAGTGAGTGAGTGAGTGAGTGAGTGAGTAAGTGGATTGGTCGGTCAGTTATTCCTCTTCATTTCGGCCTAGCTGCTGGAGACATCAGACTGTGGCACAAGTGTGTTACAAGTATATATTCGTAGGTCGAACCAAACCTCGTGTAGAGCGTGAGTCTTTTGCGTAGCTCTGCGGCATCTTGGCGTGCTGCCTCCGCAGCCTGTGCCTGCTTCTCCACCACCCTCAGCTGGTCCTACAAGCAAGGTCGTAGCAGGGGTCAAATTTGTATTTTTCTTTAGAGGACACAGGCAAGGGATGTCTTTGGTTTACTCAGAAATATCAGCACACTATGGCAAATTGGAGGAGCACCAAGGCAAATACTGCATTCAAAGAGGGGTTATCAAAGCCATTTTCTTCTCAACAACACTTTTTATAAGGGACAAGGAGGGACGCATACACTACATGGGATTTATGTGAAGGGCACAGAGGCATACCATGTATGCAAGAGAGGGCACTTTATCGGTGTGGATACCAGCCAACTTTCAGGGGCATAATGGCATTCATGTTTTAGGAAAACATTCCCTAATTATCCTCTTTCTTATGACTGTGGGTTGCATTCTCCTGAACAAGCAATACCTTCTTGAATTGCCTTACCTTGAGAGCCTGGCGAACCATTTTCTCGTTTTTAACGGATTCCTGAAGCTTTTTACATTTCTCCTTCTCTCTGTCACATTTGATGGAGAGCAATTCATTTTCTTTCAGAATCTTGGCAATTTTCGAATCTGGATAATTATAGATGAGAATAACACACATTGACTGGCACAATAAATACCCTGAAGCTACCCAACTCAACTGAACTTGTTTCATTATTAATCGACGTGTCTGATCCCAGTTTCAGACTAGTGTTCAGCTAAACTAGACTTTATTGATGCTACATATGCATTCTTACTATCAATATGATTAAAAAATTGAAATCCAACTTTAAAAAAAGTAGTGTTATGTTTACCGACATCCGAGGTTGTCAAATTTGCTTTGGTTGCAACTCATGTATTCACTAATTTTGACTGTGTATATTTGCATGTGTATATTTATAATAGACATACAGTAAAATCTGTGTTATTGCCTTCAACCTCTACAAAACAGACACTTGACAACAAATGAGAATTGACACTTTGACACTTCCATTGAGTGCCAATTATACAATGAAAGCACCCCTATAGAAGCGACACCTGTCTATATAGGCCACTTTCGGGGTTTCACATAATTCACCTTATATGCAAGTTTGACTGTGTTAGTTTCATATTGAGAAAAATTTACCTTTGGCTAGGATGGCTGCATTCAATGACTGCAGTTGATTGTGAAGATGATCGGGATCATGCCCATCTCCATCCCCCGGATCTTCAAAGTACAGCCGCTGGATGAGTTGTCTCGTTGTACATCTCGCACGGCACGTCGGACACGTAGATGACTCTTTAAGCCATTGACTGACACTGCATATGCAATTCTTAACATTACATCTTATTTACAAATAAATTTTACAAGTCTACAATGTAAGATGCATGTGACTTTGAGTTTAGCATGTGATGTGAAATGTTATCGTATCAGAGTACTCACCAGTGAAAATGAAATGTATGTCCACCTGTAGAAGTTACTAGTTAAGGAAGATAACAGTAAATCACTACAATGCGACTACAAATTACAATTAATATTATAATCTCTTTAATTTTTACTAATACTAGTACTAGCTACATGATGAATGCCAGAATGGGGACTACTGCTATAGGCTAGCCAAGACATTTTTGATTATATTTACTATCTCAGTATCTGAGTATCCTTACACTCTGACTGCGATGGGCCTACTCAGCTACTGACGACTACGGTCTAGTAGTGCGTTTTAGTACTGAGTACTACTAGTAGTAGTAACAATCCACTAAGACCTGGAGGCTCTAGTCTAGAGTAGAGATAAGAGGCGCAAATCCACTTTAGGCACCTTAGGTATCACAAAGAGATGCACAGATTTCTGTGTATCATCAACTGATGCACAGACTTTCCGTATATCAAGGAATGATGCAAAAACCCTAACCCTAACCCTAAGTCATAAAGTATAACCTTAGGTATCACGAAGTGTGTTAAGGTTAGGGTTAGGGTTACTGCCCACTGGTTAGGCTTAGGGTTAGGGTTTTTGCATCATTCCTTGATATACGGAAAGTCTGTGCATCAGTTGATGATACACAGAAATTTGTGCATCACTTCGTGATACCTAACTGTGCCTAAAGTGGATTTGCACCGGCCTAGTGTTGTATCTTATCTCGGCCTACCTACACTACACTCTACAGTTTAAATGCATCGAGGCAATAAATAAAGGATACACGAAACAGCCGATATTTGTTTGGTAGCGTCAAAATGTTCAGTGCAAATTTGACATACACCTCTCATGGTTTAAACAGAGCTTATAAATCAAATAAGTTGATTTATATGCTCTGGTTTAAATGTTTAAATTCACGCGCTACCATTTTACTAACAAAATGTTCTCTTGTTGATCATCGTCATCGTCATAAATATTATCAGTCTTCTTTTCGTTTATTTTCTATATCTTGTCCGTTAATGGCTTTTCTAGTTTGCTTTTCTTTTTAAATTATTATCTTTTAATATATTTTATTTCTTTTTTAATTTTAAAATTTGTACCTATCAGTCATTTGGTGTGTAGCACATATCTAGTGTCTTCTATAATCAGATAGTTTTGCGGCCTAAAAATATTTCGAGTAAATAAAATAAACACCTGGACCCCAAAACGATTTATTACTTAGAGACAGTTGCGGGTATAGAGATAATGAAAATATTACGCTGCATATGTGCTGCAGAATCCGGGAGATTGGCTACTGCACGAGTCCAACGGCCGGATTTTGGCTAACGCTCCCCCGCTCCATTAGGAGTGTTCCCAACTTTGATATCATTAATGATTAATGATTAATGATTGATAATCTTAACCCTAACCCTAACCCTAACTCTAACCCTAACCTAAATGACATTAAACCACAAACTAATATATGACCATGACCATGCATATATATATATATATATATATATATAT